CACTAAAAGATTTTCAGGGGTAACATGAGCGTGATTTTCCCCAATGCCCTCCTTTAAGACCCTAGCCCCTAGGTAATATGTGCCTCTGCCATATTCTGGGTTTGTGATCTTGTTTTGTTTCATATCTCCAACAGAATGTCCATAATACTGCCTCACTTGGCCCCTCTAGGATCCAATGTGTGCAATCTGACCTTACTCAGGTGAGATTCCTTTAAGAGAAATGCTCCAGAGGCAGGTTCCACAATGCACCAGGGATCCTTCATCCACACGTTCCCCACTGTGGGTTGCTAGTGACCCCCCTGCCCTGCCTGCCAGGTTCTGAGAGTGCATTTTAAAGCTAATGCATTCACTAGCCCCGGGGAGAGCAACTGTTAACAAATCACCTTCACTTCTGACTCCTGGAATCCCCAATGGGTGTCCATACTCCCATTAGGGCATCAACACGAGAAATGTGCTAGAGAATCTGTCCTCTCTCCGCCCGGTCGGTCTTGTCTTCCCAGAGGCCATGCCCACATGCTACAGCATAGTGGCCAGCTTGAAGGAAAGGCAGCAGAAGGTACTCTGCACCTGAGAGTCCTGGGTCAGATCCTGGCTTCCCTCTACGAGCTGCCGGGCACCATCTCCCGGAGCCTCTGCCCTTCCTGTATCCCAGGGAAAAGACACTTGAATGAGACCACTCATGTAAGTTCCTGGCACATATCCACCATAGTGGCTGGCACAAGAAAAGGTATTAAACAAATGAAAGTCCTCATTTATAAAACATAGGTAGCCATTGCAGAGGTGAGACTGGAAGCAGAAGGCCCCTCTGGCCATCTGAGAGAGCCCACAGGGTGCTTCTTTCCTGCCCTGGCCCACGTGGCCCGCACAACATCCCAAGGACGCGGTGAGAAGGGATCTGGTCCTTGAAGGATCTCAGGATTTGGGCACAGCAAGGAAACTGAGGTAGCAGTGGAGAGGAGGGTAATAAATAATGAAAACCAGCATGGACAGGAGCACAGGCTGGCAGTGCCCTGGTGGGAGCCTAGCACCACAGCTGGCCTCAGCATCAGACACCTCCAGGCTCTGTAACTCACATCTCTAAGACAAACTCATCACTTTCCTCTCATCCACTTCTCAAATAGGCTCTCTCTATACACACAGCTAACCCTTGAACAATGCAGGGACTCGGAGCACCACACTGCACACAGTCAAAAATCTGTGTATAACTTCCAGCTCCCCCAAAGCTTACCTACTAATATTCTACTGTTGACTGGAGGCCTCACCAATAATGTAAACAGTCAGTTGACACCTCTTTTGTATGTTATATGCATTACAAACTGTATGCTTACAATGAGGCAAGCTAGAGAAAAAATTGTTATTTAAAAAGGCATAAAGAAGAGAAACTATATTTGCTATTGTCTAACTGGAAGTGGATCATCACAAAGGTCTTTATCCTTGTCATCTTCACGTTGAGTAGGCTGAGGAGGAGGAGGAGGAAGGGGAGAGCTGGTCTTGCTATCTCAAAGGTGGGTGAGGCAGGTCAGGCAGAGGAGATGGAAAGGTAGCAGAAGAGGTAGACACACTGAGTGTTACTTGTATTGAAAACATTTGAATATAAGTAAGATCTGCAGGGTTCAAACCTGTGTTGTTCAAGAGTCAACTGTATGTTAAAAAACACTGTGCTTGCCTGAGCCAGACATCTGGGGATTCCCATGGACACCCCCTCCTCTCTTATTCCCCATTGGGTTTGCATCTCCCTTTCCTCCTCACCCTCCTGGACCTCTCCTTGCCTCATCTTTTCTTAGTGCAGGAGCCCCCAGCTCTCCCTGCGACTTGGGCTCACTCCAGCCCACCTCATTCTCCACCTGCAACTGGAGAGAGCGTGTTACCCACCATTGGGTGGCCACTGTAACCGGGTGCTCAGCACTCTCCAGAGGCCTCATGCCCATGGACAGCCTACAGAACAAAACCTAAAGTCTTGCAAGGCTTAGGAAGCTTCTGTAATGTTGTCCAGCTTCTCCAGCCTGTCCTGTGCCTGCAAGAAAGAGGCGTGTGGACCCTCTAAGCTGCATGTGCTGTAACATATTGCAGCCCACCCACTGCAGTCAACCCCAGGTCATCCTTACTCATCCTGTAGCCTGCTACTCAATCATTACCTCTGCTATGACCCCTCAGCATACAAGCAGGGGCAGCTGACTCCCTGCACCCACTTCACACACACCCCAGTAGAGCTTATTCAGCTTCACTGTTTGCACCTGAGGTTTCTTTCTGAACTCAAGGGGGTTGAGGGATAAAAGACAACAAATATGGTGCAGTATATACTGCTCAAGTGATGAGTGCACCAAAATCTCACAAATCACCACTAAAAAACTTACTCATGTAACCAAATACCACCTGTACCCCAATAACTTATGGAAAATATACAAAAATAACAATTGAAAAAAATATCCAGTTATTCAACTCAAAGAATGCTTAATATACTACAGTGAATCAAACAGACTACGTCCCTGTAGTCAAGGGGTTTGCTATCTGGTGGAAAGCAACAGAAGACAAATACACAGAGGCTGTCATGAAATGATAAATGTCTTAAATAAGAGCCAGAGAAATAGAGGGGACTCAGGAGGGTGAGCGGGAAGGTGTTCTGAACAGAATGCTCAGGAAGTCTGCTCTAAGATTGTGTCTGAGAAGAGCCAGGATGGCAGTGAGGCAGGGTGCACGCCGAGCCCATCACAGCACAAATGCAGCGAAGGGTCTGTTCCACGTGCTCAGGGAACCACCATAAGACCAGTGCAGCTGGCACCACACAATGAAGGATCAGGTAAACCAAGATAGACTGACAGGGCCTTATAAATTTATAGTCCAAAGGAGGAGGGTTTTGAGGTGGAAGGGGGCACTCATAATAAATCTGAGACAATAGACACAAGAATGTAAATTACCCAATTGTAGGCCTCCATATCTTTAGATTATACCCCAAGTGATGTGAGTCCTTGAAGGGCAGTGGGCAGAGAAGGGCCAGGACCTGGGTGCATTTCTAAGGAGCACTCCATGTGGAGTGGTGAAAGCAGGGGACATCAGGACACTAGACAATGGTCTAGGGAGAACAGCTGGGGGTTGGGTTTGGGGGCAAGACAAGCTTTGCAAAAGTGAGCCAAAGGGGCTGGAGGAAAGGGGAGAAGAAGCCGACAGCAGGCAGGAAGGCCAGCTGCAGCCCTGGCATCTCTGCACAGACATGATGCAGGGTGATCTGCAACAGCAGGGATGGAGAAGCAAGCAATGGCAGATGAAGAGGCCGAGCAAAAGGAAGGGTGGAATGGAGCATTCTCATTACAAATGTTTTGCTTGGTCTCTGGTCATATCGCCAAAGGCACATGGAATGTGTGACAACTTTAAAACTCATTCCTCTTTTTCTCAGCGTTCCAGGGCTAGAAACATCAAGGTAGAGCTCCACCATCCTGAAGCACGTAGTGGAAAAAGTGGCAAGGAAATAAGGTTACACCATACAAACTAATGACCAAACCCTGTGAGCTTTCACCTTAATTAAATGCAGATTGTAAATACTTATTTATAAATGTAAAGCTTGCAAAAATATTGTAAAATAACAATAATCTGTAAGAATTCATTACATTCACATTTTCTTCTTAGGAATGTGCAGTCTGTTACCAGTTATGCTTACACACTTCCCTCCAAGGGCCCCTTCCCCACACGCTCATGCCATGATTGAATTTCTGCTTTGCAAAGTCCATCCACTGGAATTGCTAAGAACGCGGCACTAGCCCCAGGAGGCCAGAGCCATACATCTTCCTGATGGGGCAGAGCCCACCGCAGGACAGATGGCCTGCACACTTAACTACCACTGTTTGCTGAATCGATGACCCCAGCACTGGATTAACGTTTCCACCTCCAGCTACTCTCCTTGACTTTCATTGCTCCACTTCCTCCTCCAATCCATACTGTGATCCATGGTCATCACCCTCAAACACCACTTTGTTCTCTAATCAGGAACCTACTGTCTCTCCCTTTTACCTCTGGTCTAAACTTCTATCAGTGTCCAATGAGACAGAACACAATGCCTTGCTTTTGCTTTGCTTCCCATCCTGGATACCCTACTTCCTTTCCACCTCTCCCCACATATTTCCACCTCTCCCCACATATTCTCAACTCCAAATCTTCCTTGTGCTATTCCACTTTCATATAGAGTTCAGCTCTCCATGTGGACCCACCAATATCCTACCCATTCTTTGTGGCCCTACCAGGACTTCTCTGCTCCTTACCTTGTGCAACCAGTTAGTCAGCATGATCTGATTCTTCTAAATTTGAATAGTCTTCAAATACAGGCCTTCCTGGCCCATGCACCATAGCGCCATGATCATAAATCAGGCTGTCACCACTTCTTGCCTACATTGGCCACTCTGTATTCAGTCTCTCCCATGGTACCTGCTATGATCTGGCAGGAGTGAGCTTCCAGATCTCAGGCTAATCACAATCCCCCACTCATGAACACCTACTTGCTCAATGAAGTTCAAACTCCTTAGCATGACTAACAAGGCTCTTTTTTTCTTAATCTTTGTGTGTGTGTGTGTGTGTGTGTGTGTGTGCACGCGCCAGGAGGGAAGGAAGGAGTTGAGGAAGACCTAGGGATCAAGGAGAGAGAAGGCAGACTAATCAGTTTCTTGACAACCAGTTTTCCTGTTGCCTTTTAATTCTTTTCATTTCAGGACACCCCTAGGGACCTTTTGCTCTAGATACACAAAGTTTCCATTAACAGCCTCTGTGCTTACTTGAGCTCATCTCTTCCCCACCTCAAAGACAAATCAAATCAAATTCAATGCCTTCCCACAGAAGCCTTTTCTGACATTCTCAGTGTTGGTGGTTGTGTCATAATTCCATAGTTAACCATTTGCTAATTATTTCCTCTTATAAATGTGGACACAGATGATTTTTTAAGTGTCTCTTTCCAGTGTCTTCACTTCCTTACACAATGGGCAGAGGCAAGAGGAGCAGAGAGACAACTGTTTACTAACTGATTGACTTGCTGATGCAGCTCCTTCTTGGTCAACTGTGGAGACTTTATGGAAGCAAAGAGCAGCAGATGTTCCCGGACGGTGAGGTTGTCCAACAGGATGTCCTGCTGCAGACACACACCCAGCTCCATTCTGACCCTCGACAGGTCTGTCTGCAGGTTCTTGCCATTGATGATGATGTTTCCAGAAGTGGGAGGGTAGAGCCCCGTCAACATAGATCTGCCAGAGAAAATAAGACAGCATGGAGAATATGCATTGCTGATACTGTGAGCATCAGCAATCCAGTCAGCTCCAGGACGGCGCATGCATCCTGCCAAGAGCACTCACCTTCTGCTGTCCTGGTTTTTACACAATCAGTTAAAAGGTGTGAGGAGCTTGAGGGCATGTTGGCTGGTTGATCTTGAAAATGTGAGTTTAACATAATGTTTATGCTACCACATGAAATACAAATGCTCCTTGACTTCTGATTGGGTGATGTCCCAATAAATCCATCAAAAGTTGAAAATATTGTAAGTCAAAATGTATTTACATGTAATCTACCTAACATCACAGCTTAGTCTGTCTAGCCTACCTTAAATGTGCCCAAAATATTTACATTAGCCTACAGCTGGGCAAAATCAACTATCACAAAGCATATTTTATAATAAGGTGTTGAATATCCCTTGCAATTTATTGAATATTGTACTGAAAGTAAAAAGCAGAATGGCTGTATGAGTCCTCAGACTATAGTTTCTACCTACTGTGTATTACTTTCACTCCATCATGACATCAAAATATCATTAAGTTGAACCATTGTAAGTCTGAATTGAGATCATAGAGCATCATAGTTGTATGGGACTTTAAGACGATAACATTCAGCTTTCTACAGATGAGGAAACATGCTAGAGAAATGACATATATACCTAAATCCTCATCATTAAATATAATCAAAACAGAGATGCAAAGCTAGGCCCCAACCGTGGAGCCAGTCTTCCTTCCGCTGCTCCTGGGATAGTCTGTGTGTGTTAAAACCACAAGAACTCAAGCAGCCAGCCACCACAAGCTCACACAACCAACTTTACCAACAGAAGCCTCAGAATTGCCTAGTTCTGCTTCCTTGCCTCAGGAAGTTTATTATTTAAGTTTTAAATTGGTTACTTATTTCTGAAAAGTTAAACATGCCCCTACCACAGGACCTTGCAAATCCGCTCCTTAGTATTCACACATGAGAAATTAAATGTGTGCTGACACAAAGCTGTATGCACAAATGTTCACAGCAGCTGTGTTCGCAATCACTGACAAAGAGAAACAACCTCAATTGCAACCCATAGATGAAAACATAAAGAAACTGAATTGCCTCCATACAGTGGATACCACTCAGTTGTCCCAAGGAGCAGGCTGCTGGCCCACCACCACCATGCCTGGGTCCCCAAAACAGTCCGCTGAGTACAAGAAGCCAGACATGATCCCATTTACAAGAAATTCTAGAATAAATAACCCAGATTTTAGTGACAAAGAGCAGATCAGTGGTCACATGAAGGCCGGGGTCAAAGGAGAGCACAGGAAACCTTGGAGCAGCATAGAAAGGTTCTGCATTTGTGGTGCTTATTCCAGCACTAACCAAATGTGTCAAAACTCATCAAACTGTACACATCAACATATACTGTTTACTGTGCAAAATTAAACCTCAATGAACTTAAAACTCTTTGCTATATTATTTTCAAACCTATCTGGGGGAGACTATAAAATAGTTTATACACATTCCCTGGAAGTCTCAAAGATGGTTGTTTTAAATAGTGAAGATCCCATCTTTGACTGATCTCTCAGCCTTTCATCTAAGAATTGCCAGGTGGAGGCAGCCACTTAGGATGACTCAAAACGTACTACAAATGTACACTAAAAGCAACACAGTCATTGAACCTGAAATCATCGAGAAACTCCAAATGTAATTCTCATCATTCTACTAAACAAGCAGCTCCGGTTTTCCTTGTAAGAAATGTGTCTTAGTAAAAGCAGGGTGAGAGGAGCTGTCTGGCTGAGTCATAATTTGTGTAACTTGTGGTTTCCCAATTTTCAAACACTAAAAAAACACTCAGACTCATTTCCAAGTCCATTTCTGTATCCCAGGAACAAATAAAAACTGTCCATTTTCTTTCTTTCTATTTTTTCAATATGAGATTTCTGAAGTTTCATGTGTTATTGTTCTACCTTTCTTATTAAGTTTGAGGCAAAGCCCTTCTCATTGTTTTAACTAATCACATGCTACATATTTAGTGAGAAAAAGAACAAAAGAGAAAGTGATTTGTTCAAAAGAGATATTTCATAATTTTAGCAGTTGAACCTTAAACCTTCACTTCCACAGCCAGCCCAAGGCTGTGAGTGTTTGAATTCCTTGTTTCTCTGGGAGGACATGATTTGATTCTTTAATCAAATCTAAAGCCATTGGATCTTAAACCAAACATCCACCTTTAACGAGAAAAGAACCACACAAAAACCAGAATATGGAAAAGAAAAATAATCAGGTGTTGAAAAAAATTGCAAATACCACTGTGATATTCCTCTTCCTACAGATATGCAAGCAAGATGATACTTAATGGGACAAATGCTGAAAGTGCCAAAGGATTTGCAAAGACTAAAGTACAACATGGTAAATTATTTGTAGAAAATACAAGAATTAAGGCTTTTAAAAAGCTCTCCACCTCACCCCTTTGACAGGGCCCCAGGCCTACAGTGCACCTGTGCAGTTGAGGACACAGGGCCTCTCTCACACGGGCACTCATGAGGGGCTCTGCCTTTCACCTGTGTCTCTAAACTCTGTACTGAGACTCAAAATTCTTAAAAAAGGAAAAGAAATCAAACTTTCTGTCTCACAGGTAAACTGAAACTTTAAGAATCAAATGCCCAGTGTTTGATAAGGGTAATATGGGACCCACATGATAGTGGTTTTCCCGGCACCATTTGTCCCCAGCAGGGCGGTGATTTGGTCCCTGTAGAAGGTGAGGCTGAGGTCTTGGACTGCAGCCTTGTGGCCCTCATATTCCTTGGTCACAGACACCAAGGTGACTCCCGGGGGACTTCCTTCAAGCTCTCCTTCCCTGTTTTGCTGTGATGACCCTGTGAGAGAGATGAAAATTCATTGTGAAAAGACTTCAAAAGCCCTGAAGATCATGCTCATATTTATTAATTCAGTGTTCTGCTTTGAAATTGAATTCCAGCTCTGTGAAGCATACAAATCAACTCAAAAATCTTTCTTTAGCAAGAACAAGAAGCAGACTACATAATGGCAAACACTAAGTGATATCACTGATTACAAAGTTTTGAACCCTTACGATAACCATTTTGTAAAAATAAAAATAAAAATAAAAACACACACATGTATTTTGGTTTAAGTAGAGAAAAAACAACAGGCAGATTAGTTACACATAAAATATTCATGAGAAATAGTCTCCTGAGGAGGTGAGAATGGATAGGTGCTTGTCGATGTGTTCCACATTTTCTAAAAGATTCATAATTCAGAAAAATATTTAGATTGTTTAGAGTACAATGTTGACTTGTAATCTAAACCCACCATGATGGGAGCTTGTTTATCTCTGAGTGATGCATCTCTGTTTCCATGGAGATGGCCTATGAATTCATCCTTTGGCAGAGGTGCCCTGTACATGCACCTGCACCTGCAGGAATAGGCCATGACTCTGGAGTGCAGAGGCACAGGCACAGTCCTGCCCCTATCTCCTGAGAACCACAATCCCTATTTGTAAGGGACAGCGGTATTCTCCCTCACACAGGAACACTGAATACACCAGCATAGGTGAGAACACTTAAAAATTTTAAAGTGCTTTACATAGGGTAGCTACCCGTCTTTGCTTTTATTTCCTACACATATTCATTTTGGGACTAACTTCAATTTTACTAAATTATAATATACACACAAATGCACATAATGCATACAGGGAAGGATGCTAAATAATAAATAATGGGAACTCCCTGGGGTTCCTGGATTTCACAGAACAAACACTGTCAGGGCATACTGCCTCACATCTGTGCCTTGTAGCTGTTTCCCAGCCCAAGACAGCCTAAATGTAAGTCTCTCTACGAATCAGCACACACTTGCAAAGGCTGGACCAGAAAAACAATAAAAACCAAAAACAAAATGGATCAGAGGAAAAATACATGCATCTAATAATTCTACTCCTTACAAACCTTTACTGTCAAAGTTCTCATGGAAGAAGAACACACTGGAACTTAGAGAATATTGCCTATTTTCCACCAAGACACCCACACTCTTCCAATATGAGGCAGTAAAGGGGAAATACCATGGTTTCCGTAGACCAAATGTTCCTGAAAGAGGAGACAATTAAAATTAGTTTAATTTTTTTATTTAGATGAAGGTACTGTATTAGAATATCTTAAGTAATTAATATAAAATGTCATTCCATGTTAGTATTTTTAATATATGTCCCATATACAAAAAAGTGATATCCCAAGGCACAGCTATTAGCTTTGCAGTGGAGCCCTAACTCTCCCTTCTCAGTCTGATCCACGGCCATGTGTTAAAAGCTCCTCTCATCCACTTCCCCCAAGACATCTATAGAGTAGGGGTTCAATAAACGCTTTTTGGATAATTGCTGAATATTCACAGAGTAAAGTGCCACCTTGTCCCACACTGCCCTTCTATTTTGTCATTATTCTTCTTTTGCCTACCTTTGATGTTTGCAAGGATTCCTAAACAAGGGGAAGAGCATGAGTTAAGTGCATGAGGGGATTAATCAATTGAAATGTCCACAAAGAAGAATAATTCATAATGCTAACATTTCCATATGAAACATATTATCATTCTGCAAAAGTATTCTCCAAATTCATTTCAGCCCATTTAACATTCACTTTGCCCTCATTACATGCTGAAATGAGAAGGGATTTCATTATTAACACTTTCCAATTTTCTTTTAACACATCCATTCTAGTTTAAGTTTGATGAATGCAACTTACCTAAAGGCCTAAATTCTACAACTGATTAGAATTAAAAAGGCCTATAGAAAGACTATTATAGCACTTTGATCATCAAGCAGAAGAGAGATATGCAAGCCCTTGCACTTTCTAATCAAAAAATAGAAAGAGATTTCAGGCACTCAAAGGAGAGCACATGTATCCATTACCTTTTGAAAGTAAAGGGAAGGTTTGCAAAGTTTTTCTCCCATTCTATAGAATGGGAGAAATGTCTGTTTACTCTGTCAATAGTTTCCTTTGCTGTGCAAAAGCTCTTCAGTTTAGTTAGATCTCAATTGTCAATTTTTGCTTTTCTTGCAATTGCTTTTGGCATCTTTGTCATGAAATCTTTGTCTGTGACTATGTCCTGAACGGTGTTGACCAGGTTGTCTTCCAGTGTTTTTATAGTTTTGAGTTTTACATGGTATTGACTAGGTTGTCTTCCAGGGTTTTTATAGTTTTGAGTTTTACATGGTATTGACTAGGTTGTCTTCCAGGGTTTTTATAGTTTTGAGTTTTACATTTAAGTCTTTAATCCGTCTTGAATTAATTTTTGTATATGGAAATAAGGAAGGTGTTCAGTTTCAATTTTCTGCATATATCTAGCCAGTTATCCTCACACCATTTATTAAATAGAAAATCCTTTCCCCATTGCTTGTTTTTTTAGGTTTGTTGAAGATCACGTAGTTGTAGGTGTGTGTTCTTATTTCTGGGTTCTCTATTCTGTTCTGTTAGTCTGTGTGTCTGTTCTTGTACCAGAACCATGCTGTTATGGTTACTGTAGCCCTGTAGTATAGTTTGAAGTCAGGTAGCATGATGTCTCCAGCTTTGTTCTTTTCACTCAGGATTGTCTTGGCTATTCAGGCTCATTTTTGGTTCCATGTGAATTTTAAAACATTTTTTTCTAGTTCTATGAAGAATATCAATGGTAGTTTAATGAGAATAGCATTGAATCTACAAACTGCTTTTGGCAGTATGGTCATTTTAATGATATTAATTCTTCCCATCCATGAGCATGAAATGTTTTTCCATTTGTTCTTGTCATCTCTGATTTCTTTGAGTAGTGGTTTGTAGTTCTCCTTGTAGAGACCTTTCACCTCCCTTGTTAGCTGTATTCCTAGGCATTTTGTGTGTGTATGGTAATTGTGGATGGAAGTTTGTTATTGATTTAACTCTGGGCTTGACTGTTGTTGCTGTATAGGAATGCTTAACTATGCATCTGACAAAGGTCTAATATCCAACATCTATAAGGAACTTAGATAAATTAAGCAAAAAACAAACATCCCATTAGAAAGTGGACAAAGGACATAAAGAGACACTTCTCAAAAGAAGACATACATAGGGCCAACATATGGAAAAACCTCAACATCAATGATCATTAGAGAAATGCAAATCAAAACCACTATGAGATACCATCACACACCAGTCAGAAAGGCTGCTATTAAAAGGTCAAAAATTAACAGACGCTGCTGAGGTTGTGAATAAAAAGGAATGCTTATACACTGTTGGTGGGAGTATAAATTAGTTCAACTATTGTGGAAGACAGGTGGTGGTTCCTTAAAGACCTAAAGATAGAAATACCATTTGACCCAGCAATCCTATTACTGAGTATATACCCAAAGGAATATATATCATTTTATTATAAAGACACATGCACACGCATGTTCTTTGTGGCACTATTCATAATAGCAAAGACATGGAATCAACCTAAATGCCCATCGATGATAAACTGGATAAAGAAAATGTGGTACATATACACCATGGACTACTATGCAGCCATAAATAGGAATGAGATCATGTCCTTTGCACGGACATGAATGAAGCTGCAGGCCATTATCCTTAGCAAGCTAACATCCTTAGCAAAGGAACAGAAAACCAAATACTGCATGTTCTCACTTATAAGTGGGAGCTGAATGATGAGAACACATGAGGGGGAACAACATGCCCTGGGGCCTTTTGGAGGGTGAAGGGTGAGAGAAGGTAGAGGACGAGAAAAAATAACTGACGGGTACTAGGCTTAATACGTGGGTGACAAAATGATCTGTACAACAAACCCCCATGACACCATTTACCTATGTAACAAACCTGCACATGTACCCCTGCACTTAAAAGTTACAAAAAAATAAATAAATAAAGTGAAGAGAAGTTGTTGAGCTGGTGTCAGGAGTAGCACTGTTGTTTGTGGGCTGAGTTGTGTCTCCCCAGGTTTCACAGGTTGAAGTTCTAACCCCCTGTACTTCAAAATGTGACTGTATTTGGAGACACGGTCTTCAAAGAGGTAATTAAGGCAAAATGAAGTCACAAGGGCGAGGACTAATTCAATGTGAGTGCTGTCCTCATGAAAGAAAATTTGGACACAGATACACAGGAACGACACAAGGAGATGATGCCATCTGCAAGCCAAGGAGAGTGGCCTTGGGAAAAACCAGCCCATACATATAGCCACATACTCAGGCCTACACCTTGATCTCAGACTTCTGGCCTCCAGGATTGTGAGACAATACATTCCTGTTGTTTGAGCCACCCAGTCTGTGGTACTTTGTTGTTGCAGGCTGAGAAAATTAATGCAAGCAGGCGTCCTCCAAGAACCTTGCAAAGCAATAACCATCCCTCTGTAGGAAGAGGATGAGTAGCAGCTGGATAATCAGGTCATATCACAGCCAGCATTCCACTCACTCTGTTCCAGGCACTGTCCAGGGTATCTGGTTGTATTAATTCACACAGTCCTGTGACCACCAACATGTCAGGTATAATTATCACCTCTACCTTCCCAATAAGAAAAGGAGGAACAGAAAGGCTTGCCCAGTGATGCACAGCTGGTGGCTCCCGAAGCTACACACTGGTTAGCCTCTCCTCTAGCATCTCCTGCCTGTCTGAATACGCAAGTGCAGCCATGAGGATGCTTTGGGTTGCCTTTTACAACAAGAAAGAAGCACAGTTTCTTCCAGCACCAATTACACAATAAGCCCCTGTTGATACATACACGAACAATGAGTGTGTGGAAATCAAAGGAGATAGAAAGCGAGCAAACACATCAGGAAGATTATTCTCACAAAGCTGCAGGTCTTGGGCTGAGAGGCCTCCCAGGCAACCACACTCAGTCGCAGCTTAAGTGGGCACCACCCTTAGCAAGGACAGTAGGCAATGGGATCCGGATGCCTTTAAGTGTTTATATATTTGAATTAGTAATTAAAATTCTGGGACTCTAGATGACACAATGAAAAAGTGGGAACGTACATCTGAACATAGAAAAAGCAAAAATTATTTAAACTTGTAAAGTAAGAGAAAGGTGCAGGAAGTTATTACTTTCATTTGATGAAATATTGAGCAGCCATTAACAGTACTTTCAAAGATGTGGATAAATGCTTATGACAAAAATATTTTTTAAAAACATAGAGGGAAATTTACATATATAGTATGAACCCAGCTAGGTACAGAAAACTGTCTGGAAAAAGCCTGGGAAATGTTAGTTCTGGTTAGTTAAATCAGAGATAATTGAATGTTTTTTTCTGCTTCCTCAAAAATTTTTCCTGTTTCTCCATAAACTTTTCAAACATTTTACAATAAACACATATCCATCTGATGTATTACAGCTCAAGTTTTCAGAACCATAGGGGAGAAAAGAATATTTCACACATGCACATTCTAAAGGTGAAATAAGGCACAATTTGCCTGTTCCAAATGAAGTCATTGAACACCTTCACATTGTGAGTGTACGCAAGGAAATCCTGAAGCAAGCCTCAGCTCTGCTTCACTTCGATACAAGTGGAAGTTGTACAAAGATAAATATGATTTCAAACTTTGGGCCATGACTAAAAGTGAGGATCACCATACATGTGTGTGTGTGACACACACATACCCACATACACATGCACACACACAGGCATTCACACACATGTACATATGCACATATTCATGCAGCACATGCACACATGTACACACACACAAGCGTGCACACATAGGCAACTGCAACAATGTCAGGAGTTACCAGTTTCTTGCAATGGAGCTAAGTCATTACTCTTTATTAGTTGTGTCCTTGTTTTCTCACTTGAGTCTTTGGGAAATGACACCTTACTGCAGCCCTGACTTACTGTGGGAGATGCTTTGCTGAGAAATGAATAACTAAGCATTTTGTACAGAGGTAGGAGGACAGACTCTGGCTCATCTCCCAGGGCTCACAGTTCCAGTTGTCAGCCCAAGAATGAGCAGGACAGGTGAGGCCTCAGCACAGTGACGAAGGAACACAGCAGAAGTCCCCTAGATCTGGAACATCGTATCCCTTGCCCTTCTGTTCTCCGGTTTACACCTTCCTGTTCCAGGGAGATGTCAGTCATCAAACAGAAATCAACTAGTCA